ATGTTAATAAATTATTATAATGACATATGGCTCTTGTTTAAAACTTTTAATTTGATGACCTGATGAAAAGCCATTCACTACATAAAGACTTGGAACACGACTCATATCGTGGAATAACACATACAATTTGTTTGAAGCAAGGGAGTCATTTTACTACACCCTGTTTTTTGGCGTTGAGACCTCTGTAGTCCTTCAAAAATTGCTTCTTAAATGTCTATTATACTTATACGCTGAAAATTACCCCCAACTTTTCAAATCCGTATTTATTTTCAAAATCTACAAAACAAGTGCCTGCATTCAATCTTGTTCTACGTGCAGAGTTTTTCAAATTTTTTGTAGCCGAGCGTTTTGGGTCAAACTTGTGGCTCTCAACAAACGTGAAATCCATTTGTAAAGGCAAATGAACAACCACTACGATAATGAACAAGAGTATGCACCTGGCCAACTGAGAAGCGCTCGGGAATGCAAGCATTAAAGAGGTGTTTTATAAAGGCACACTGGTGAATAATATCTATATTCTACCTCATTTCCAAACGAATTCAGTAAAAATTTAAGTCAATTTAATTGAATTCAAAACAGCTGTTTTTAAGGTAGCATTCCTGTTTTGGTAAAGCTAACACAGACTGAAAAAGTGTCCACTTAGGAACAAAAAGGGTGGTAAGACTTTATGGTTTATATTAATGTTTTCTACTGGATACAAAGGAACTACTTTACAGGTATATAATAGGATAGTCAGTGACAGCAAATTCAAGTCAACACTGACTTTTTAAAAACGGATACTTGTCTATTGGAATATCTAAAACACATCGTGCCCATTAGACCAATCATATATCCGGCACATTAAGAAAAAGTAAAAATTCAAGTTTCATCGAACTTTTATTCTATGATAGTTTTAGGCATAAGCATTCGCATCAAAATTAATAAAATTCATTTAAATCAAAGTAAGTACTAATAATTTTTCTTCGCACAAATTGACCGGTTGGTACGCATCAAGTAGAACATACAAGTTTACAATTATGCCCTTTCTAGATTTCAATAACTGAATAACTAAGCATAAGCGAAAATTATTGACAGTGTTCCTTTGAATATGTAAGCCCAATTCAATAAATCTTGGACTAATGGGTTGGGTTTTCATGATAGAAAATGATTGAAGGCGATCAAAAACCAATTTTTTCGCTGGTATCTACAGATAATCTGAAGATACCCGTTTTTAACGGGATTATCAGGAGTGTTTGAATAGATCGGCGCATGATCTTTCGGCATTCATGATGTTTCTTAACCTAACGCGTGTGGTTTTCCTGCAAGCATTCTCTACTGTAAAATTTTATGAAATTATCTTTCTAGGAGGAAGAAGGAAAAGACAATCGAGGAATTGATAGAAATAGATAGTAGGATGAAATATTGCAAACCTTGACACTTGAAAATCAGTGCTTATAATATTTTAAATTATTTTTTTGGAACCCAGAAAAATCTTCTTGAAATATGTGTGACTAAATTTAGCTATTGAGTCCGAAATTTGTACTTAGAAACTGGGTCACGCTGTCTACGTACATGAGCCTAATGCAAGATAAGCTAAATGTTTCTTAATATGGGGTGACTGATAGAAGTTCAATCCTCATACAAATTCCAACCCTCTTAGTGGGCTTCCATTAGCCTTATTCCTGTAGCTAAACACAGAGAGTGACTTTCAGCAATTTTTCCACAGCAACCGCAGAACGTTTTCCTATCCTATATCTATACAGATACGTCGGCTTTTTCCATTAGTCCTGCAACTGAACACGCACCTGAGTAAATGTTGGTTTTTTTCGGAATAGTTAGCAAATACGTATGTGTTTATTCCGTTGGGCATGCAATAAATATTTCAGGAAGCCTGCTTGCGATACCAACAATAACTGACGGGCCAGGAATTATAGTTGCAGGCTCCCTTGTCTTTGTTAAAAGTACCCAAACTGTATAAGCAGTTGGAAATATGAGACTGTCTATCAGGGCTTTAGATTGCACTCCAATTCGCGCTAAATTGAGCATGCCTGAAAACCATATCAGTGAACGTGCTTCATTCATAGTTCCTGTTATAGAAAGCTCAATTTTTTCACGGCATAATAAGACAACGATTGACCAAGGGCGTTTTTAAAAAAATATCGTTTAAAAAACAGGTTCTATTCCACTGATAGGCTGATAAGATAATGTTCAGATAAAAGCACTGCTTTATTCATCAGGTGGCTTGTGTGGTCACCGTTAAAATTTATTGCAGACTAATTGATATAATGATGTCGTGTTCCAGGGATATAGCGCAGGGCCAAAAAAACTATCTTTTTGTATATATACTGCCTGGCTCCAAGAGTCGACATGTCCAAAGTTTGCTTCCTGAAATAATTAGTTTTGAAATTTTTAAGTCATCTGGTAGTTCACTGCAAACCCAAAAATTTTTTTCACGAATCATGTCTCAAAGAGCGTTCACGAAAGGCCCAATTATATTGACTTTTCATTCTTTCGTCAACTGTGCTGGTCCTCATTCAATCCATTCGATGCCCCTCAGTCATATCGTCCGGAAAGCTTATTTTTGCCAAAAACATCGCTGCAAAGAACTCAATTCCTAATTTTTTAGCGGACGAACGAACAGGTTTTAAAACCGACTATTCTAATCAGGCAACAGACTCTAGCGTCGCTTGTTTAAAAGGATAAGACTAATATTAAACTGTTCCATATTGGTGGATTCCATATGAGCGGTAAAGTTGGGCGGGTAATATCGACCCAAATGTTATTAAATTCATGGCGCGAGGCGGGGCGTTTGTAGCTTAGCGGTTAAAGCGTTTGGCTTCCGGTAAAGGCCTTCTCTGACAGGCAGGTTCAAATTCCGCCGAACGCCTTGAATTTTTTCACATTTGGGTCAACTCAAATTAAGTGAATCTGCTAAACCTCCAAATAATTATCTTAAACTACTTGTGTGATAAAAATCGTGAGTTGGCTTGAGTTATACTGCGTCCAAGATTAAAAGAAATTCTATGGAATTAACATTTTCACTATAAATAATTTACAAGCCACACATATGATCATCCTTTTCTAGCCTGTATAGGATTTTTTTAATTCCTGAATATTCAAATACAATATGTACATTTAAGCTTGAAGCATAAAAACTTTTACATCCGAGCCATACTTAGTAAATTCTAGATATTCCGGCATCACTTAACAAAATATTATAAGATGATATTGATTAATACAGGGAGCAACTAAAAAAAAGATTTTGACTTATTTTGAATTTTATTATGGCCTGCGTAAACCCAATAGAACGCATAATTTATTTAAAATAGTTTTTTTGATGCCCACGAAACGCACTTGTGTCTTGTTCATTGCTGTCTAAAATAATTTCAGAAAAGATGGTTAAAGCTGTGCAAATTATATACCCCTATTTCCAGCTTTTTTCCTAGGGAAACGGTGGTTAAAGGGGTTCAGGATGCGGGAAAATAGGACAGACAGTAAAGGAAATTTGTAGAAGTAAATTTTAAATGGAAAAATTCAGTCGAATTTATCTCCTATGGCGGAAAGAGAAAGATGTTCCCCAAGTAAATTGAGGGTGTGCACGGCACTTC